AGGCTGCCCAGGGCAGTGGTTGAGTCCCCATCCCTGGAGGTATTTAAAAGAAGGGTAGATGTGGTGCTTAGGGACATGGGTTAGTGGTGGCCTTAGCAGTGCTGGGTTAACGGTTGGACTTGATGATCTTAAAGGTCTTTTCCAACCTAAACGATTTCATGATTCTGTGATTTCCAAAGGTCCTACGTGACCCAAAAGACACCTTGCTACAGACCAAATCTCAGCGGGATATTGCCCTTAGCAGACCATGGCTGAGGCTGGAGGGCTGCGTTCACTCCATACTCAGCGGGCTTTGCGGTTGTTTGGGGCAATGGGTCGGATCTGATGGGGATGCCGGGGGACAGGCTGCCGATCAACCAGCCATCGCAACCGGGACCATCTCCAAATCGCCACCGTTGCAGGAAAGGTTAGAAACCAGTTGGCTGAAAGACAAAGCCCGGAGCATGCTGTTCCCTCGCTTTCACACCAAAGGGAGCCCAAAGGGGCTCCCAGCGAGGCAGCCATCGCCTAAGCACCCACAGACAGCACCACGGGGAGAGGGGCTGTGTATCCGTCCTTGCCACCCACTGTGCCATCAGCTTTTAAGAGCTACCTGCAGGGAACAGTATTTAGGAAAAGAAAAAAAAATAAATTAATCCAAAAATCCATCCCTTTGTGACTCTGAATCTGACCCCAAATTATGATTCATGACCAAAAGCAACGAAGAGAGCCCGTGGTGACTTGAAAAATGATTTTTCCGAGCAGAGGCAGTGCTAAGCGGGGAACTCGAGACTCCTGAGAAAGCAGGAGGAATGCGCTCCAAGCCCGAGTGCTGCAGATGAAATGTGTTGCATCACATAATCTGGTTTTGTGCTTTGAGTTTCAGCTGGACGGGGAGATACTAAGAAGCACGAGAAAGGCCGTTTCCGCGAGATCTCCAGTCCAGATTGGGAGGATCAGTCAGGCTGCCAGGATCACCAGCGATTTTATTTCCTTTTCTTTTTCATTGCTTTGCTAAACCCCATCTCCAAATAGAGCAACCAAGGAGGGAGTGTCAGCAGATAGGTGCCCATCAGAGGCAGAGGGGAAAAAGGTTAAGCTAGAACAGCCGAAAGTTGTTAGATGAAAACATTATTTTTTAAAAGAGCCTGAGAGCACTGGGGTTTTATAAAACCTCCCATTGTATTGCACTAATAAGTCAAGTGTTCGCAGCCGAGCCAGCAGACACGCTCTACAGCATCTATTACCGGCGTGTTTATTTACAAAGGCAGCCGCCAAGCCAAAGCTGAACAGAAAAGGGGAAAGGGTGAAATACGGTTTTAAAGAAATACAGCTCCTTGGACTGGTTTTAATTTAAAATCCTTGGACTGGGTTTGTAATTTTCTTTTGTGTTTCGTCCCCTCCTCCTTATTTCTTCTTCAAGGAATGAATTGTCCAAAGCCAGCCAGCCAAAGGGGAATTTTCCTCTAGGTGTCTCTGTCCCCATTTTTAGTCTCAATTTTCTCTCATACACACACACACATGCATACACACACACACGCGCGCGTGCACACAGACACACGCACACTCCTCTTCTCTGGTCCTCTCAGTCCAGCATCCCCTTTTCACTACCACAGCGATCTCCCACACCCCAGCGCGGTGCTCCCTGAAGCACTTTATAACTCAAACCTGCCCCAGCACCCTTCTCCGCCCCCAGCGCAACGCCGGCCACCCCATGCGGGAGGGACCGGCTGCGCACGGGAGCAGCACGTGGCGGCAGGGGACGAGAAGCCGGCGCTGGCAGCTGGGTCCTGCCAGCCCAGCGGGGCGATGGGCAGGACACCGCCGACGCTGTGATTTCATCGGAGCAGACACCTGCACCTGTGCTATACATATGGCTTTGCAAAACAGTTATCACCTGCTCTTAAAAAACAGCAGGTATAAGGCCTGGATTTATTGGATTTGACCAGAAATCCAGAGCCACGCACACACACAGGCATGGAGCGCTCTGCTATTGTAGCTCAGGAGAAAGCGCTGTGTCTCTATCAGCCCGTACCTGCCGCAAACCTGCTCCTCTGTCTCCCTTTGGAGTATTTTGCATCCCAACCGAGAGCACGTGGAAGGAGAGGAACGAAAAAAGCCCTCCAGGCTTTGTCAGGGAGAAATACGTGGTCACCGTAACACACCACGGCCTTCCCCAGCAATGCGGGACGGCGGGGGGAGGCAGCGGAGGACAGAGAACAAGGCAAAAAGAAAAGGTGGGAGCAATTTTTAATGAAAGGAAAAACCTACATTAAATTATTGCTTTATTTCTGGTTCTATGCAGGTCTCTGACACGCTCCACTCTGCCCCCCGAGATGCCATGGCCGCCTCCAACAGCCCAGTAAGGAGGAGAAAGACCTGAAGGGATCCTGCCCGAAAAAGGAGCCTTCCCAGGACTTGGATCTACAGAGGAGTCTCTCAGTGAAGTCCCCAGCCAAGGCAAGCCCTCCTACCCAGCAGCGTCCAGGCCCACCACCGTCCCCTGTAGATGTTGAAGGGTGGGAGGGAAAGGGAAGGAAGAGCTCCAGCCCCAGTGTTTTGAGAGGTATCCTCCCTCCAGACCATGCATGAACGAGGCATCAGGATGTGCAGTAGACCGTAACAGAGAGGGCACGGGGGAGAAGTCAACTGAGAGATGAGCACAGGGTGGGAGGAGAGGAATTGCGGCAAGATGAGAGTTACCCAGCTCTCCCTCACCTCTCCCCCCAGCCCCTGCCTCATCGGATGCGGAGGTACGAGGGGATGGAGTAATTGAAGAGCAAGTAGTCCATTTTATATAAATTAAAGAGTCTCCTTTGGTAGAAAGGGCTAATGTCCTGGAAGAACTGGGCCGTCATGTCGTCTGTCGTCCTGGTGGTCTTGGATGAAGATGGGAACTTGATGCTCGTGTCAGCCCCAACCAGCTGCAGGATGTAGTTGGCATCTTCGGCCAAGGTCTCGTACTTGCCCACCACATCGTAGTGGACGATGCAGGGGTGGCAGAGCGAGTGCACCCGCTCCCAGTGCTCGTTGAAGGGCTCCTCCCGCTGCGTCCGTGGATCCAGCAGGTAGTAGACGAACTCCTCAAAGCGCACGTCATCCCCGCGCTCCAGGGCCTTGTCGCTGGGCTCCTGCCGGTGTCGCCGGATGATCTTGGTCCCATAGCGCTTGTGGAAGGCCGTGTTGTAGCTGCGGGTGAACTTGTTGCGGTACGCCGAGACCAGGCGCTCAAAGGGCTCCCGCACGAAGATGAACTTGAGGTAGCTGCGCAGGCGGTGGTTGATCTCGGGGATGCTGTACTCGGAGAGGGTGCGCAGGTTGGATGAGACGTGGGCCTCGTTGGCGGGGATTTCCAGTGGGTCCCGGTACTTGCCTTGCCCTGTCAGGACCATCATCACCCGCTTCCAGTTAGTGCAGGCCACTTTGGGCACATAGCAGTAGAGCAGCCCGTGTGTGTCATCCACCACCAAGTGCCGCAAGTCATCCGGCCGCAGGAGACGCCGCTTGCGGGTGTAACGGTTGCAGATGTTGCTCAACAGCTCCCGTCTCTGCTGGTGAACGACCTGCAGTGACGACTGCTCAAACTGGGGACAAAAAATAAGAAAGAGGTGGTCACCAGCTTGCCCAAGCTGATCATGGCCTACACACAACACTTGGCCCACAACTGTCCCCACTCCCTCCCCTTTCCTGGGTTTGGCAGTCATCCATGTGGGATTTTGGGGGACAGCGTTCACTTTGAACACGATTTGGTGCATTTAATCCTTGGACCTGCTGGGAGCAAAACACAGAACAAAATGCAATGAGGAGCCAGATGAGAAGTCAAATCAAAGGGGGTGAGGGAAGAACAGGCGGTGTAGAGAGGGTTAACAACCGAACATTTGTTATGGCACCCACACACACACCCCCCAGGCTAAAGCTCTCCCTTACATCAGTCTGGGGGGGAAAACACGGCCCAACCCCTCCAGGGGCAAAGAGCGCAGCCCCTTTGCTGGCGCAGGGCCCCGCAGACCTCCTGGCTGCGATGGGGCATCGCTGCGTCGCGCTGACACCAACACCCAGGGGCTTGCTGCGAACGCCACAGCCAAGAGGCAGAAACGTGGCACGCGAGTGTGGGCACGTATGATGGAAATGGCGCGGGTGTGCTGCCAAGGAAGGGCAAAGGGAGATGGGTGAAGGAAAATGGTCTTTAACGCTGATGGTCGAACCCTGGGGAGCAGATGGGGAGCTAGAGGAGAGGTGGGGTGGCAGGGCATGATGGAGAGGAGCAAGGCGCCGCTGGAGGTGGTGGGGTGGCCTGTTCCAAGGGCTTTGGGTTTCTTCTCCTGAGGGACTTTTTCGACACAGGCCAATCTGATGCCTCAGCTCTGGTCACAGTCTCCTCTGTCCACAGGGAGGTCCGTTTTCTTTATCCTTGCGTCAAGGCCTGGCAGCCGCTGCATTAGCTTCCCAGGAGCCTCGAGCCCCCCGACCCCTGCCCCAGCTGAACCCCCTCCTCCAGATTTGGGGACGTGACCTTTACTGTCATGGAAATCCCAAAATGTCATTAAAACATCTGGGGAAGGAAACCATTTCCAGAACTCAGAAGGGGAAGGTCCCCTCCTCCTCCTGCCCACTCCCTCCCCGTTTTGCTCACGAGGGTTGGGAGGTTTCGCGTTCAGCCCCGAGATCATTGCTGGGAACCTCCAACAGCCTCGTCTGGGCCACAATGGCTAACGGCTTCATGGCCTGTTTGCTAACCCAGGGCAGCTCCAACCCCGCAGAGCTGTTGCTGTAACGCAATGCAACGACGCCCATGTCGCAAGACGACGGTGGCTTCCACTTTGGGACTGCGAAGGCAGTCCTGCCGGCGTCACAGGGCACCACAGCAAACGTCTCTGCCAGCCTGCAGAGAGGTGGCAACCTCAAGATGAAGGGCAAGGGCAGGCCACCTCCTTGGTCCCTACATCCTTGCCGCTGACAGCTGTCATCACTTATGCACGCCAAAGGACACCCTTTGCCAAGCTTTGGGTGCACCCCCACCTGTCCCTGCGGGTCCATAAGGGTTTTTGGGAAGCACCAGAGGCTGGGAGAGGCGGCGTTGTGGAGATGGGGCTTTCTCCTGCCAGGAGCTGGGATCCCTAGACAAACTGTCCATCCCGTGGATGATCCAGCAGACCCATCACCTTCAGAGGGGCACTAATATCTGGGCAAAAAGCTCCTCCTGCAAGGGATGAACCACACTCACCACACTTCTGGATCTCAATTCCACAAAAGAAATAACCTTTTCCAGGTCACCTTAGGAACCTGCGTGGACAGTAACCTGAGACAGGGGCAGGAGAAAGCATCCCATCCCTGCTCCTTCCAAGAGGGAGATGATAAGGGAAAATGCTCAGATGGAGGAAATGCAGGTCAACAGGCTCTACCTGCCACCAAGAGATGACTTTGACATTGCTGGCTACTTGGATATGGAGAGGATGTAGCGCCTAGGGAGGTGATAATCATAGCTGAAGAGGCATTCTCCCGGTATACCTCCTTGCGACACAGTCAAACCTTTCAGCAGAAATTTCTTTTGTTTGGAGGCTCCTCATCAACTTTTAAAATTGGAAACCCTTTTTGCAAGTGTTTAAAAAAAAAAAAAAAAAAAGAGGCATTTTAATAATGTGGTTTTTTTTTTCAGGTGTTTTTCCCTGCACTTGCATAATTCAAAACTTGGATCAGAGAGACAGACAGACACACACTGTCTGCAGGCATGGCAACAAATAAATGTGACTACTTTTCGGCAGCCGCCCACTGGAATAAGTGCATGTCTTGCAGTTATTCCAGAGCAACATTGCTCCCTTCATTTCCTTCTCTTTAAAAGCCAGAGAAATTAAGTATCACTTTTAAGGAAATAACACCATGACATTCCAGCAGCGTTAGGGTTTGCCGGCATCGTGGCCAAGGAAGTTCACATCTGCCATTTTTCCCAGAGCAAATGTAATTCGGCTGCTTACAGATGTAAAAGCATCAGGTATGGAAAGGAGATCCGGCTCCGGCCGCAGCGGGCAGTGCCGATGGGCAGCAGGGAGGCAGCGGGGATGGCAGCCAGCTGCAGGCAGCGTTGCCCTCTGCTTCTTGGGGGCTGCAGAAGATGACTGCCCTGTGGACATGGGGAGACGCAGGGTACGTTTGGTGGCTGGGGCATGTGGCCACGGCCCGGCCCGTTGCACCAGCTGGAGGGTGCTTTCCTGCAGGATTTCCTGCAGGGAAGTTGTGGGCGAGGATCCCTCTGCAAAGACAAGTCTGGCTGCATGAGGGTGACCGATGCCAGGTCACCGATGCCGGTTGAGCTGCACACACCAGGGGCTGGCGAGGGCGAGTGCTCCCTGCCTCAAGCAGCGACCATGGCTTGTCCTGCAGCAGGCCCTTGCATAGACAGGGACCCACTAAGGCCACCGGGAGGGGGACGCTTCCCTGCCCAGACTGTGCCTGCCTGCCCCCGTCTCAGCAGGGTGATGGAGAGAACTGAGATGTCCCAGGGTTATAAACCACTCATGTCTGGGTCCAGCTTTATATACGTGTGTGTGTATATATATATATATATATATGCATATACATATGTGTGTGTGTACATATATAGCACCCAACATAGAAGCATCTATCAATTATTAGCTCAGAAAGCGCAGCAATGATGCTCTTGCCCTGCTATGATGGCCCAGAGTTGGCTTTGAAATCCTCAGGTAGTCAAATCTCCTGTGTTTGCCCAGCTATGGCTCAGCCCACCGGTAATGAAACCATTTGCCCAAGTACCAGCAAGGGCCATAAGCAGTTTTTTTATCAACAATTACTCCCCAAAGTGGTGTGGTCTTTTCTTTAGGAGACAGCCAGAGTTTCAGGTGCGGGGACCTTGGGGGTGGTTGGAGACAGCGCAGTGCCCTGCACACCAGAGGGGTGGAAGAAGGGGTCCACCCTCATCGCCCCACTCCCTCTTCACCCCCCAATCTCCTTCTCCCTGTCCCCTTACCTGGTCACTCTTGTACAGGGCCTGGAGTGGGCTGCGACCGGCCTTCCCCTGCCAGGTGGATCTCATAACCCCGTCTTCTGCAGCTGGAAAAGGAGCGAGAAAAATCAGAGGGGTTGGAGGGGCTGCTTCCCTCACCCTCTATGGAGATGCCCAAGTTAGGATGAGGCAACGTCCCCCGAGAAAAGACAAATTCGTTTGGCTCTGGGAGAAGATGCTCAAGCAACGCTTGTCCCTCCCTCTTATTTTTTAACAAAACCTGCAGTTAGCGTTCAAAAGATCCAGACTTAACCTCTGAACAAATAAAAGACCATAAATAAAGAGAACGGCTTGTTACAATTTCAACAGCAATTGGGAACAGTTTGATCCACGTGCGTTTGGGAAATGCCACCGTGTGCAGGCTGCGCTGGCGAGGGAACGACCCAGGAGGCGGCAGGACCCCAAGCAGCATCGCCACGGCCCAGTGAGGGCGAGACGGCATCTGTGCTGGGCAGAGATAAGGGGCAGATCCAACACCGGCAGCTCTGTGCTGAGCCCCCACGGGCCCAGAGTTTGCATTTCCAGGCTCAGAGACACGGTCATTAACAGACAAATTGGTCAGGTGCTTCGTCTGACTGCTAAGTCGTTTTAAGTTCTTATTTGCTATTTATTTTTTTTTTCTTCCCTTCTAAACCAGCAACATCGCCTCGAGTGTTTGAAGCTGAAGACAGCCACCCAAGCAGTCCTCGCTCCTTCCCTGCCTGCAGATCGGCTGGTTTGATTTCGGAGGTCTATTTGCAGCAGAACCAAACCCAAGGCTGGATCTGGGCAGCCACGAATGCAGTGCCAGACACCCAGTTGGTGACAGATGCTCAAGTTCTCATGCTCATAAATTATGTAGAGATGCAACCACCTTCCAGGCTACGAAGCACCCGCTTCAGCTGCCATCCCTCAGCCCCAGGGACCTGTTCCCAGCACAGCGTGGGCAGGACCACGTGGCCTGGACATCCCAAACCTAATGCACGGAGCCAGCCACGGCAGGGGCACCAGCTCCCCCTTGCAGTAACACCTGGAGGCAGCTGTCCCACCTCTCACCCACCCTCTGCTACTTGGATCCGACCCTCGCCGCTGGCAGAGGATGCTACGACAGTTTTCATATGAGAAGAAGGTTTCTAACCATGGGGGTTGTGCAACCCTGGAGTTGGCTTCCACAGAAGAAATCACACTGTGAGTTTTAAAATGGAAGATGATGTCTTATCTGAAGGGGATGATAGGACCCATTGTTCGGGAGATCGTGGCCTGGGAGGTTCTCCCAGTCCTCCACGTTCCTGCTCCTACAGGGACTTTCTAAAATCTCGGACAGACGGACATGGTGGAGGGAAAAGCATCTCTCACGAACCATTTCTGGCAACATGAAGGTTTCTAACACAGAGGCTTTTTGCACGACAATTTGGGGCTCTGGATCTTTTTGTTCACTGACCATCACCAAACAAAGCCAAATTTGTTATACGAGCCCCAGGTGGCATCTTTTTAACCAAAATAACCAGAAGGAAAAAATCCAAACCCCATCTTCATTTTCACATGCTTGTATTTTGCTTAAATGAAAACTACTCCAAAGCACAAAGTCACCAGGGTCTAAGCGAAACATGATTCATTCCTCGAGCTGTAATTAGGGGGAAATGACTGCCTGACCTCACAAGAGTTCAGCAGCAGCGCACGCACGCTTGCGCGTTCATGGGAAATGCCGCTTCCTGCAGCACCGGACTGACCGAGATGTGACTAACGAGAAGGTACAGTTTCTTCCTCAATCCCCGGTATCAGTTACCCCACAGGAGGGTGAAACGGCATCTGTGCTAACGAGAGATAAGCGGAAGATCCAACGTGCACAGCGCTGGGCTGAGATGCTCGTCCCAGAGGAGCTCCGTTTCACATTTCCAGGCTCAGCCCTCTGCAAATGACAGGGAATGAGATCGACCTTGAAAACTCGACTCACTGCAGCTCGAATCTGCAAGCAGAGAGCACTAAACTCGAGTCCCTTCCCTGGCCGAGACTGATAAACTCCTGTTCAATTTAAGAGCGTGACCCCGCTGTGGGCTGTCTGCAAGTGCCCTGCACCGTAGCAGACACTTGCCCTATATTTAGTAAAAGCAATGTGTAGGTGTTTGTTTTTGAGATTAACACGTGTATCAACCAGAACCTTTCTTACGAGGGACAGAAGCAAACCCCGGGTGCTTCAGGCTGACCTGAAGCTGCTAGAAATGCAAATTGCTTGTGCCGGCGCTGTGCAGGGGTGCGTGGAACCACCGTCCCGCGGAAAGGCTGCAGGGTCAGGTCATGGCCTGGGAGCGGGCTGGCTCGGCAGGAGGCTCTTCAGGGTGAAGAAAAAGCAAATCTGCAGTAAAGCAGGAAGCGAGCAGAGGCTGGGCAGGTCAGATTCGTGCTCTGACCGCTCTGGTCTGCGCCTCTCGGTGCTGCTGAGGCAGGGGAACAAGCCTGGCCGGGGACTGCTGCACCTCGCCTGACTCTTGCCAACAGCCCCAGCAGAAACGTTGCAAACTGGATTTCCTCCAGCCTTTCCCCAGCACAAGATCTGGCAGAGAACAAGGCATCTTCTCCGGATAGCAGCAAACCCCCTGGGATCGCCGCTGTGCTCATGCTGTACAGGGTTCCAGAAAAAAAGGGGAAGAGAAAAAAAAAATAAGGAAAAAAATGCTGCCAGGCTGCTCCCGTGCGGCTGGAGGAGCCTGGGAGCGCTGAGCTGGCAGGGGGAAGACGCCAGCGCTCCACACTCACTGCATCTTGACAGCTTTCGCTCTCCAAAGCGATGACACCATCCCCTGCCCAAGGCGCTCGCCAAAGCCTTCAGAGCAAGCGTCTGGCCCCATGGCAGGTTTTTACCCAGCTCCAACCGCAGGAAGTCTCCCCCCCCCCCCCCCAGAAACCGTCTGCTCGCGCTACACGCGGCGGCCCACGGAGAAAAGCAACTGGGCTCCTGGCTGGGCCGTGAGGACGACTTTTGAAGAGCCCACGGAGAAAAGCAACTGGGCTCCTGGCTGGGCCGTGAGGACGACTTTTGAAGACTGTGTTAAACCCTGCTGCAGAGGGGGAGATGCAGCAGCTGCAACCGCATGCGGCTCAACACAGCACCGTGCCGGCACCGGTGCATGCAGAGGGCAGCAGCCGATCCGTGTGCCCCGTGGGACCAAAGTGTCCATCCTCTGCAGGACTGGGTCAGAGTGGCTGCAAATGCCTGTGGCTAGCAGTGCGCGCTCAAATGGAGACGAGTCTGGGCTGCCTGTGCCCCAAAGCATCCCCAAAACATCTGGGATTGCCCGGCAGAGCAACACTGGCTGTCACAGTGGTAGGGAAGCCAGGGCTGCAGTGGGAGGCTGTAGATGGTGATTTAACAGAGTCCAGCCCCCCTAAGACCAGGCTTTGCCACCTAACACAGCTCTGCCCCGTGACCCCAAGCTGTGGCCATCCCTTGTTCACCATCCCGCAGCCCCAGCACCTGCAACAGCCCTGCTGCTGCACTCCTCTCCCAGCTCGACCCCAGGTCCTCATCGTGCAACTCCGTGAACACAGCTCAGCCCTAATTTGAACACAAACCCCCTCTTGCCTGGCTGCTCCATCCCAACCACCTCATCACGCGATCCCACAGCGTGCTCCCATCCTGGGGTCTCTCCCCATCCTGTCCCCTAACTGCTGTCCCCATTCCGCTCTCACCTTCACTGCCTACTCCAAGCAGGCAATGGCCCACCTTAGGAAGGCTGAGCTCAAGGGGCTCCACAGCTGGCTGAACTGCACAGCTGGAGAGGAACCCAAACATGGAGGGGGAGCCGGGGAAAGGCTCGGTGCTTGATCTGTGCCTGTTTCTTTCATCAGATCTGGGATACAGCCTGGACTGAGAGGAGGAGGAGGGAGGAAGGGGGAAGATGGGCAACAGCATTGACACATCCCCTTTCTTCCACTCGTTCATGCTGAGAGCAAGTCAATCACCCCATCCCCGTACTGTTGGCTTACCCATCCCTGGGATGCTCCTGGGACTCCAAGAAGCTTGGGAAGGCCAAGGAATACTGAAATATATGAGAGTGTTGAGGAGGGAGTATCATCAGAGTATATTAATGGTTCGTGCTGCATTTTCGCACCATGGCTCTGAGTACAGCAGGATCTTCCATCATGGGGGAGCTGCCAAGATCTTTGCATCCTGGCTTTCCTCCTGACCTTATAGCTTCTCACTGAGGTTCCCAGATTCCACCACATGCGGTGGTAATCCTTGGAAATTTAGCATCGCCACAATTACATCCGAAAGCAGGGATGTCACTTAGCTAAGGTATATCGAGTTTCTAAAGAGGAGAAAAGATCAACTCTTGGCAACTGCTGGATCACCATTTGGATAACAAGTATCAAGACAGTGTACATCTGTGATCCAAATCCAAAATGTTTTTCATGGAGACGGGCAGCAGGAGATATCACATTTGTCCTTTGCATCTTCAAAGGATGAAGCAAGGGAATAGGAGCGATGCAGAGCAAGAGACTGAAAACCCCATGCTAAGGCAGTAACGTTGAGCAGAAATCACTGAATGAGGTGAGCCCGAAAGGGAGCTCGGGCACGTTTTGGAGTCTCCTGTGCTACAAGTGCTTTCAGTCTTTCCTTCGGAGCTTAAAAAGGCAACGTGCTCCCTCCCTCCTTTCCCCCTACAGCCCAGATTTTAGTGCTGTCCCATCAAAACCAAAGCTGTTTTCTTGCAGCGATGTGACATCAATACCGCAGCAGGAGCCGGGGTTTCAATGACTTGCCAGCTCTCTTTGGAAAAGGGAATAGATTTTAAAGCTGTGAATATTTAGGTGCACTAGCTGATTGCAAAGACAGCCAGACATGTGTGAGGTGAGGGAAA